TGCGTTAACTGGAGTGCAGGTATTAGTTACCCGCACTCCAGAGCATGTCCATTGATTGGCTCATTTTTGCTGGGGTTTACATATTGTGACGGCAGAGTAAGGGGAAGCGACAGAAAAATCATATTCAGATGTTCGTTCATTGGTTCCTTTTTGCCGGGGTTTCATATTGTGACAACAGGGAACGTGTTTTTATGTTTGACTATGATACAAAAGAGAAAGAACATCAAAACACTCGGCAATCTGATTAATACTCGGGGCTACGCCCCCTCGTACAAATCAGATAGCACCGTGTTTCGATGCTATTTCTATTACTTATTTGGCAAAGAATAGCCATAAGTGAAGATCTTATGTTTTGTTTTTCGTTAAGATCGACTCGCACCTTGGTAAACTATTCAACAATATTTAGTGCGTTTTAATGTAAACATTATCATGAACCATTGTACATGTTATATTCCAGTTAATATGATATATTTCAATGTGAATGGTACGGAAGTATAAAGTTTTGTATTTATCGATTAATGTCTTAAAGTAATGTTGTAAATTGACTTTTGTCTCATGAGTAATTGTCTCCAAGCATTCTAGTTAAAATATTTTAATTGTTAGTTGAAAAGGTATTATTTGCTTAGTAAAGCTATAAGCTAGATATTTATATTTCCATTCCAAACTAGATTATCAAAGCTGCTTTTATATTTATTGTGATATCAATTCAAGGATTTTGCCTTCGGTTATATATTCTCAGTTCCGAGATAAAATAATTGTAACTTTTTCAAAGCATTTATAACGATTAATATCAATCTGTACTGGCCTCAGTTAAGAAATTATATCATAATGTACATATTATTGTAATGGGCCGGTGGCAAATATCGATAAATAAATTGTCATTGTCATTGGCATCAATAATCCCGAAGGACCAGAAAAATATAACAACACTGAAGTGAAGTACGGGCAACTTTTTACAGGCGCCACACGGCATTTGACAGCTGCTGTTGTGCCATTTAGGAGTTGATTCCATTCAGAAACAGTAAAGTTGGGTGCTGCAATGTATAAATCTAGAATTGGCAGAATTGCGAAGATTATATGTAGTAATATCGCCAACATTATCAGGGACTAAGTTGGATAAGTACGACTTAATTATGTTGTTTTTCATCTTATAAAATAAAGTCTTCTCCTGATTTTAAGCGGTTCAAATCCAGTTTCTGTGTATACGTTTGACATAAAAACAAGTTTAATAGCCCCGGTGATAACTCTGCAAGCTTCAAGATGTATTTCCTCAATTTCATATTCCTGATGTGTTGTTATGTTATCCCATACGACATCTGAGTATTCAAAAAGTGGTTTAATAAACGTATTAAAGATGATTTTTAGAGATTTTATATCAAGAATAAATTTTAATTTTCTCATGACGTCGATTCGTTGCCAAGTTTTTGCTTTGATAGTGTCAGTATGATGATTCCAAGTGCTATCATTTGAGAAATTAACACCAAGATGTTTGTAGATTGTGACTTCCGGTATTTGAGTACCGTTCATTCCAAGAGGGGAGGTGGATAAGCCTGTATCATCAGCAAATAGTCTTATAGTGAAATTTATATCACAAACAATATCATTGATATAGACAAGAAAAGGAAGAGGACCAAGAATGAAGCCCTGTGGAACACCAGATGAAATATTGATATCAGACATTGCTCCAGGAAGTACGACTCTCTGTTTGCTCTCCGACAAAAAGTCACAGAACCAATCAAGTAATTGATCTTCTATACCAGACAACTTCAATTTATATAATAGACCTATATGCCATACACGATCAAACGCCCTAGAAATATCACAGAAGACGGCGCGAACTTCTTTACCAACATCAAGAGCTTGATAGAATGTGTCTTAGATAGATACGAGCTGGTTTTTAGTAGAGTCATTAGGTACAAATCCAGATTGCAAAGAGGTTATGGAGTTGTTTAAAACACATGCTTGTGAATATTTTTTCTAACACCTTGCTGATAGTGCTATGAAGAGATATTGGTCTATAGTTTGATCTTGAGGGTCATTTTTTTTAAATACTGCACACACATGTGCTAACTTTCACTGAGAAGGTATTTTCTAATAGATAAGGAACGATTAAAAAGATTACAGAGAGGATTTGCTAATTTTTCAGCATGTTCTTTTAGTATCCTGTTGTAAACGGTATCTGGCCAAGACGCTTCACCTCATGTTAAAGATTTTAATGGTAGAGTTAATTCATCTATGGTGATAAAATGTGACTAAGTTACGGATTGTCAGGATTGTTTTCAATGTGGGAAGGTCTTTGTTGTTATCATTTAACTCGGTTTGAGTTTGAAAAAAGTTATTTAGAAGGTTAGCCGTGTCGATATCTGATGTAAAAGGAGTACCATTGTCAATGAGCGTGTTTATTCCGGTGTTATGTGATGATGATGATGGTGTAATATGTTGTTTAAGTAGTTTCCAATAGTCGGATGAGCTTATGTTTTCATTTTTATTTTCTCTGCAAGTTTTATCGTAAAAGTTTTTTTGGCATTTCTTAGAAGTTCAGTAGTTTTATTTCTAAATTGTTTGTATATGTCCCAATGTTGTTCTTTTTGTGTTCTATTTGCTCTGTCATATGCTCTTTAACGTGTCCTCATGAATTTTCTTAGATCATTGTGCAGCCAAGGTGGGTCGGAATGCCGAACTGTAATTGATTTAAGAGGAATATGTTTTTCTGAGAGTTTCAAGATTTTATCAGTTACATTTGAAGCGTAAATGTTGATATGTTCATGGAAGGGAGAGTTCCACTTAAAGATACATACATCATTTTTTAAATTATTATAACCGCCCTGATTTCCAAACAGACCTTTTGAAACATTTACGATGGGATTTGGAAGTTTTTAAACAGCAGTGAATAGGACAGTGATACCTTACATTTTGGACAAGAAACGGTCCACCTACACCAAATAAAGTCACCTCGCATGTTATTAAAAGAAAAATATCAATAAAGACTAATAAGATTCAGTAAAGTGTGTTGGCTCATTGATAACTTGTGTCATGTTATATTGTGAAGCTATTCTATTTATTTGTGTGCTTGTGGAAGACTTAAGCATATCTAAATTTTAACTCACCCGTGATATTATCAATATTATTATAAAATACTAACACTAAAGAATTCTTACTATTTGTCAAGACAAGTGAAGAAGATTTTGGCGGTCTGTAAAATGTGCCAAAAGGATTTTCTTTTGTTTTGTAGAAGTTCAATCCATATACACTCTACCCACAGAATTCCGTCCTTCTGTGAGCTGGAATATGTTTTCAACATAAACAACTACACCGCCATGGTTATCTCCACGACGATGGCTTCTAAAAGGAGAGGGAATATCGTCAAAAAGTAGTTTATTTATTTGGCCTTTTTTCTCTCTGTTTTTATTTATCAACGCCTCTAAATTACAATCGAAATGCATGTATATAATAAGTAAACTATGATAAATAGATAAATATATTTTATTTTATAGGAGAGATATTTATAAAAGTCAATGATTTCCTTCTCGATTGTAGTGGAATTTGTTTATATGTGTATGTAATTCACGAAGTAAATGTAAAATTAAATTGAGAGAAAAACTAGAATAATATAAAGGTTGAAATTGTAATGTCAATTTTCATAAACGTTTGGTTCATTACACTTACGTACAAATTGCGGTTTTCATCGAGAAGATTGTGCATAATTATGTTATTATATATATTTTACGAGGATAATTTCAGGATAGAATTTCACCTAATTTCATTTAACCTAAAAAAATAAATAATTCGGCCCAGTTTAGGTAATCGTTTAATTTTTATTTATTTATTTATTTATTTTATTTTATTCTATTTTATTTTTTTTATTTATTTATTTATTTATTTTCATCAATGAGGTTTTTATTTTAGATGTGTATATATACAATAAATGTTAGTTAAAATATACGAGTAAATTTATATATATACAAGATAGTATCAGTCCTGTAATGTTGTTTGCAGTTGACCTAGTTTAAAAAGATACGAATCTGTGACCTATATGTCACGTTGTTATTTATTCATATAGCCCCCAGACGTATTCAATTGAAAAACAACCAAAATAATTTTACCTTGTACAAAACTTTGATTTATTGATAATACACCAGGGACAACCTTTGTTAGTTGTTTGTATCGCATACATATGGATATCACTCGAGTTAGGCAACAACATACATTAATGTATTTGGGTAAGCTGGGTGAGAGTGAAAACTTGAAGCTTATATTAATGGAACTTATCATTATAATGGTGCCACTAGGAAACATGGAAGTGACAAAAGGTAGGCTCGAGCCCAAGATCCCTGGATTCAAAGCTTGACAGCCCCGGCTCAAATGTGTTTCATTATAGCAAATGATTGTAACAAATTATGGGTTAAAACAGCACAATATGATTTTAAATTTCCTTTGTTGTCAAATGCCTGTCTATGATGGTTATTTACTAAATAAAATTAAACTTTTTAAATGTTATATAACACTTTTTGGAGAGAGTCAGTATCTTCATTGAGAAAATAATTTAATGTATCATTCTTGTTCAGATGAAAACCTTAAAGGTCTCAATCCACAGCAAGATTGAAAAAAGCCAAATACAATGAATAAAAATAATAATACAAAAAAATAACGTTATAATTAATACAAAAAAAACTTTATACTGGTATTCTATATATGTTTGCTTGAGCCTTTGATGAACGAAATATATACATCATTCAACATTTAAATATTAAAATGGTGAAATTTAGAAAGCTATAACAACACTCAGCGAGTCACTAACTGACAAAATTCGCCATTATTAAATTTATATGCTCGGTATCTAACTTCATCTTTGTATAACGATATGTCCCAAATCATATGTAAACATGGAAAGTCCATGCATGCCATTGTTGTCATGGCAACCGAAAAAGGGTTACAGTACTAAAATGTCATACTTTTATTAGCAGCGGAACTTAATAAATAAAAACAGAAATAACACTTACCAAGAGCTGCTATACAGGACACCGTGTACCATAATTGCGGAAATTTGACAATAAGCCGAGGAAATTTTCGAAAACTGCAGGAGAATGATATAACATGGAATCGAAATGAGAAGATTTATGCACGTGACGTCATACCAAACGTGTTTGTGTCCAACCTCTACACTGAATAATATTATCTATGCTTTAAATAAAATACTTCAAAATTTGTAGACATCAGTACTTTTTAGATTATTCATGAGGAAGGAATCACTTAGCCCTTAAAGTTAAGAACAAAAGGAAACCATGCAATTTATGATTACTCTTAATATCTGTGGTTTCCTCTACAACATTTGTTTCCTCCCAGCTTAAATGTATTTCTTAATGTCAAAATACTTCCTTATGTAAAAATCTAATTATTACATGACTAACGATTTCCATGTTTTGCAATTGGTCCAAACACGGTCACGTGACAATCAATAGAAAGTGACATTGACCTCGACCTCTAGGAATAAACTACGTAACAAAGCATGGCGCTAAAATACGTAATGGCTTTACGGTATAGAGGGTAGTAGCCGATCAATCAGAAACAATATTACCTAAAATAATTATCTTGTGTAAATGTCGAAATACAACGATGAAAGAAAGAGTTTTGCTTTTTATTCTTTTGAACATTAACAACTTTAGAAAGGGAGCCAATGCCGTAGACAGGAAAACACTTCAGCACTTTGCGTATGGCTGTTTAGTGCCTGTTTGCGTGAAAAATAAAATTGGCAAACCCATTATGTTGGTTTTGTCATGGTGCGGCTCATTTTATGAATAAATCGTTTTCCTATATCACAAATCAATAATCGATTATACTATATCCTTGTTTACCCGGGATTTATCATTGCTATGTAAAGCTTTGTCCTTTATTTCATTCTGTTTAGTGATCCTTGTTTTTATAAACATAAACATACATTTTTTCTGCTGATAATGCCGACGCGTCTTGTATATATGCCGTTTAACTTCCTGAAGAACTGAAACATGTATCTGCATTCTGTCTTGCAGTATGTTTACAGAATTTACAAACATTGTGAGTGTCAGAATGTCTAAGATACAGGGATATTTATTCTATAAATACTGCTTAGGTTTTTAAATTATAAATGTTTAAACTGGCACGTAAATTTCATGTCATCCTTGCAGCTGTATACATATTATACATGTATATAGATTTACTGGGAAATGTTTGTAGTTTGGAAGATGTTTAGATATCACATGTTTACGTGCCATTTGAATGCTTTGAAAAAGTATTACAGATGTTCAAAATACTTTATTGAACGTGAATGAGATTCAGAGGAACATATTCATGAATTATGAAATTGCAAATACATGTATTTTATTTTGATATGCCGTGTTTATCCTAAAAAGGTTTCAAGGGGGGTGGATTTCACCCGCTTAAACGGTCTACTAGCGGAGATCAATGCTACCCTTTAATTTAAGAATTCAACTCATTTTTATGAAGATAAAAGCTCGTCAACGTACTTGATGATCAATTCTCTTATCAGCTCCTGTTTAACGTCATGATTATATGTTCAAAACACTTTAGGAGACTGGTTTTATTTAGAGTATTAGAGTATTTTATGTTTATTCTATGAAATAACATCTGCCCTAATAGTTTACATAATCCATCTGGCTTAAACATGCACTGTACATCTGTAATTGTTTCTCTCAGCGGTGTTATATCTATCATTCCATCTGCATTAACTGCAATTTTTTCTATCTAAACATAGGTATACGTTAACTGTGGTGTTTTCTTTATTACAATAAGCAAATAACAACAAGTACAACAAAACACTACAGAATCAACAACAACAGAATTTTTTTGAGCATTGCTGTATAATTATGTTAATTATTACAAGCAAATAACAACACTTTGGTTTTAAAAGAGAAAAAAAAACGATTGGTTTGGAAATTGAAACAACTTTTCAGAACATTTAGCGTCAAATTATACACAATTCCTTATTTCCAAAGAGAATGTGCCTGGACACTGCCCCTACAGTAGTGTTTAACGTCCTTATTATATCGAGATTAATTGGCCGCCGGTACCACCTGGCATACATGTGCATACCATAATTTGTTGCCCAATTATAATTTCCATCATATATCAATTTAGTATTTTGCCAGTTAGGTCTGGTAAAATTAAACCCTTCAACGTGAATAAGTTCCGGATGGTTTTTCGCTAATGTATTTGGCACCCACAGGGCGTTATACGCCCAGATTTTCTTATAATCATCTTTATAACTTTTATACCATAGATTAAGAAACGTTGCATTCTTCTTGGACATGACAACTTGTGAACCCATCGTTCTCTTTAACTCATGTCCTTGTGTGTGCTGAAATCTCCTCAATGAATCTATCGGTCGTAGCAGAATTTCATCAAAATCTAAATAAATACCTCCATATTCTGTAATTTCAAACAAGATATAGGTAAGATATATTAACAATGACAGGAATAAACAGGTTTAAATAAAAACATTTGTAAAATAGAGCAAACATCATACCAGGTTTACAGCCATTATATTCGCCTATATTACGTATTATATCTCTTTAAATAAAAAGAAATGCAAATGTATAATATCTTATTTGGTCAAAGGGACGTAACCCTATCACTATATACCTCAATGCATGACAAAGTTACGTACCATTAATTATAAACTGACTGAAATTGAGATAGTTTTAAAGAAGAAATAATCAGTACCCTTGTAATGATGAAAAATATATTAGATATGAGCAATTTATTCGGATGTTTTTTGTGTAAATACAATACCTAGAAGAGCCTCTAAACGCATAACGTCAGATGAATGTTCTTTAAATCTTAGTTTATTTCCAAACACTGTTTCTGGCCTCTCCCTGCGCACGTGAATAACATTAGGGGACATATGTAGAAAGTATTCCCAATATGGCCCGTGCGGCACGGTAGGTCCGTGTATAAGAATAACGCATGGTTTAACGAATCTGTTGATGAAATTAAAAAAAGTTTAAAAAATTTTGCCTTATTATTGACAATATTAACAAAAAGGAACATTTTTATTTCATATATTATCAAAATATTAATATTATTTATTGTTCCTCGTGAAATATCACGTTTCTACGTAATATGTTCACGTTAAGACTTGATAAATTTTCTTTGACCAAGTGACTATGTTCAAATCCCGCCAGGAACCTTGGATTCCTTTATGCATAGTCTTACGGGAGATTAGTTAAGTATCCACTTGTGCAAGAAAGTGAGAGGTGACCTAAAAGTTATACTGTCGGTGTGACTTAGATCCATACTACATTAGAATAATTCTATACTAATATCTAACAAACTTTGTTATTGTTATGAACTTACCTTAAAACGCTCATTAAACTTAGAAAGTTAAAATATTCCAGTTCCTTGTCGCCATACCATACATAGTGTACGACATTTGGTACCGGGTTGTCATCAACGCAACACTTGTCTATAAAATGTGTTAAACAACTGTCCCTAAAATCTAATTCAAAAATTTCACTTGAATTGTAAGTCTCAGATACGTCTATGAGTGCATTTCTATAGTAACACAGCAAACTAAACTTTGATCTCTTCACTGGTAAATCGTTCAATGAAAGATGTGGGCATTCTCGTTTGTGTACGAAATTCCAGTCGTCCATATTGGAAACTAAATCTGGTTGAATAAGATGGTCTACCCACGGTGACGTCATCATACGGCATTTTCTTGAGACGCTTTTCTTTAATTTTTCGAAATCTAACAATACGAAAATTAAAAACTGGCAAATATTAAACTTTAAATATGCAGCTTTTAAACAAAATAATTTTCGGACATTCTAAATTATTGTCTATATTTTTCACTTAAGTTTTAATATGAGTATATATCTTAATTTGTTATAGGCAAAAGTTTACACGTGTCTATGTTGTTTTCCCCTCTCAATTAGATTTGTACACTCAACATGGCTACATGTTAGTACAGACATAATCTCAAATGATGCTGAACTGAAATTTACGTTATTTGTGGTGACGTTTTATGTGAACTAACTTACCATGTTTGATGTGGACTTGCTCTGGAATTTTTATTGGCTCTGGGACTTTCAATGTGACCTTCACTAAATTATCAGATTTATTTTCGATATGATTATTTACTCGTAGATCCATCCAGTATATCTGTAAACATTGAATACCCACAACTACAAGTAACATTGATATCCATAGTTTATATCCCACGATATCAAACCGTTTTGTCCGGAAAAGAATCCTTCTTGCACGTGTTTTAATCATTTTTGGTATCACAGAACACGTGCGTAAAGTTATGATTAAATTATCCATAGAATATCTTATGACGCGGTTATTTTTTATTCAAATAAGGTCAAGCGAGAAATAATATTTCAGTAAATACACTTCTTATCATGTCTGTATACATGTATGTTCAAATAAACATTTTTTTTTCATTTGTTTGACCACCTCCTCAGGCACATCAAAATATAATAACGAACAAGGCCCCAAGGGAATCTATTATCAAAGACCATGGAAGATTTTAAATATTGATAAATTTATAATTAATTGTTATTTCAATTAATGGGATAAAAATGAACCATAAGACTTTTTTCTAACTTACTAAGATGTATAAACAAATATGACATTCTGTTTAAAGGAGGAAAATAACACTGATTTTTCCAGTTTTCTGTGACAATAATCTTGTATGTCAATTCAATCTGAACACAACGATTTATATAAAGGAATTATGTGATGTGAAATATTTCAATTTATTGACTTTAAGAAATGCACGTAGACAGAAACGGTCAAACATTTTTCAGAAGCTTATAAAGAAACTATTAGTTACAAGAAAGTAACTGCATCGAGCAATTCAGGTATTTTTTTTACATACTTTATTATTTTCAACAGTAAATCACATGTATAACGTATCTTTTATGTCTGGACGAAATTTGCAATTGTTAAAAGTGTATATATTTTGATGGCAAATTTTACAGAAACATTTTCCACATATAGAACGCATAATTATAGAAGAAAAATTTACGATTATTATGTAATGTGTGTTTTTTTATTGCAAGTCCCATGATTTATTTATTTTTATTTATTTCAATGTTAAAACTTTAAAGTTGTAATAAAATGCTATTGTTGGTAAGTCTTAACCGTTGAGCAATGATTTCGCACATGCATCATTCGCCATAAAGGAAGCGTCTATACGACATACGGAATTTCATTCATACAGGCATTTTAAAATTATCCTTTTTAACATTCATACTTCAGACAGCGGAGTTATAAATTAATACTTATTATGTAATTTAGTAGTAAAATACTGTAATGACTAATTTGATATCGGACATGGATGTTTGATTTCATATTATACAAAGTGGAAGTACAGATAATGCTTTACATAAAAACTCAGTACATGCATATATAATTTAATACTGAATCATAGACTAATTTACGAGCTAACAATAAGACAAATGATATCCATGTCTAAATAAAACAAATGATTGTTTTAGTTTCATGACATACAACAAAATAAATGCTTTTATTAAAATACATGACTACTTCAATACTTTATGTAAATCAGTCAACATTCATAAAACAAAATATAACATAAGTTTAATGTAATATGAGCCGCGTCATGACCAAACCAACATAGTGCGTTTGTGACCAGCATGGATCTAGACCAGTCTGCGCATCCGCGCAGTCTGATCAGGATCCATGCTGTTCGCTAACAAACCCTATAACAAGTAGAACAGCATGGATTCTGATCAGAATGCGCGGATGCGCAGGCTGGTCTGGATCCATGCTGGTCGCAAACCCATTATGTTGGTTTTGTCGTGACGCGGCTCAATTATAACAAAACATTCCTTAACCACAAATTTAATTATTTTAAGTGAAATACAAAATTTAGTAATAAACGTCATAGGTCAACCTTTCAGCTTATTTGAACACATAGTTACAATGTATATAACAGTTATTTCATATAAAGTTAGCCACGTAATAGAAATGTCCACTGATAGGGGAGAAAATGTGCCAGCGGCCGTTTTGCTCGATAGATTGTTATTAAGAAGGCAATAGGTTAAATTCAATATTTTTCTCAGTTTGTGAGAAACGTTCGGATATAAAGATAAAGAAATAAAAGTAGTCATAGCACCAGACAAAAAGGAGCTTCACTGAGCTCAACAGTCTAAACATATAAAATATAAAATTCTTACATATTCAAAATGGTGTACTTAAAGTCATAAAATATGCATATGATTATAAAGAACATATATTCAGAGTAAAATCGAAAATCGAGTTTTTTTTTACGATTCTCACCTCTATTTCAGTGAAATCGTTTCAACGTGGGTCATTTTACACAAAAATTATCCTGACAAAGAAGTGAGGGAATTATTTGAAATTTTGCACACAAATTATTAGCCCAGAACTACATCAAATGCTCTCGAAAAAATATTTCCAGTCCCTTCTTGTAAAAAGTCTTAAAACCTCAGTGAAGTCCCTTGAACAAATAGTAGTAACAAGTAATAGACCTAAATCAATCTGAATAAAATTAACTCCTATTTAATGCTACGCCTTACACATGTTATAAGTAGATCTGAAGTTTAGTCAAATTGAGACCTATAGATGTAGTCGTGAACATGGTTATTAAAGCACCCCACAAACATATCAAACATTACACTCATTGATCCGCGTCACGAAAAAAACCAACACAATGCGTTTGCGACCAGCATGGATCCAGACCAGCCTGCGCATTCGCGCAGTCTGATCAGGATCCAGATCCATGCCAGCCTGCGCATTCGCGCAGTCTGATCAGGATCCATGCTGTTCGCTTACAAACCCTATTACAAGTAGAGAAACTGATAGCGAACAACATGGATCCTGATCAGACTGCGCGGATGCGCAGGCTGGTCTGGATCCATGCTGGTCGCAAACCCATTATGTTGGTTTTGTCATGACGCGGCTCAATTTTTATCCTGACGCTTCATGTAATAACTGCGCCATCGTGATGCAGCAATAATTATCTTAACACAAAGTAATATATCTTTCTGAAATTATTTCATACATTGTACAATCAAATATATCTTCATGATACTGCATAAATTCAAGATCTATTCTTTAGTTGCATGCCTCCAGATGAGCAAAAATTAAACGTGAGAAATATGTACTAAGATTCTAAGAGAAGTAAAAAGATTCAAGTAATAATTACAAATATAACATGTTGTATGGGAAAATAATAGTTTTTTTTGCAGTATTTATCGCCACATTTTTTTTCTGTGTTACAAACATAAAAGGTCTATTTTTGCATATTTTACATTTTAGCTCATTTACATAGATTGTGAGTACCGTTTGCAACGTGTATATTACTTTCTTTGTTAATTCACAATATTTTATTGTTTAATACATCTCAAAATTTTCCTGAAAATAAGCCTGATTATGGAGGCATGCTGGTTTAATTCAATACACATCTTCATAAATTTTGCATGTTCTTATTCCATACGTTTATACACAACATAGAAAATATCTATAATTTACAATATTGAAATTTATCAGCTCAACTTTATGATAATTTATAATTCTATTTATAACATTTCGAAAGCCCCAAACGACATAAATCATAAAAGAAGTATCAATTTAATTAAATAATACACTGTCAGAATGGTGCAATAAATAAAAGCTGTCAATTTACTTTAACCGAGACCAGAATTGATAGATTTCATATTACGAACACTTTTAGGTACAGTACAATGAAATATTTTAGGCAAATGATTTGGTATGTTTTACCTACAGTGATGTTTTGAATAGTTAGAAGTTAGTTTCGATCTGATTAATACAAAATTAGGTAATACAGAATTAGGTTTAGTGTTATTGTGTAAGAAGCTTTATTAAAGGCACACACCCATTCTTGCACTAAACCAAAACTAAGCAACTAAAACTAAGTCTCAGAGTTTAAACCAATACGACCAGCAAGTCTTAAATGACTCATTTTTTATAATTGTTTCTTATTTGCTTTATATCAGATTCGTTACCTTTTTCAGTTTATAAATGACTAATGCACCATCTACTTAACACACAATTCCTTATTTCCAAACAGCACGTGACGACACACTGCGCCTATAGTCGTATTAAGAGTCCGAATTATTACATTGTTCGTCTCATTTTTATACCATCGTATATACAAATGCATACCATAGTTAGTTGACCAATCATAATTCTGGTTAAAAATAAGATTCACTTGCTGCCAATTTGGGCGCGTAAAATTGTATCCTTCGACGTGAATCAAATTTGGATATTGTTTAGACAATTTGTCTGGTACCCATAATGCATTCCATGCCCATGATTTCCGGTAATCGTCCCGATAACTGTTATACCAGTGATTTAAAAATGTAGCGTTCTTTTTAGAGATGACTAGTTGGGATCCCATTGTGACGTCACGCTCGTGACCTTGTGTGTAATCATATTTTCTTAAAGGTTCCAGAGGCCGCAGCACAATTTCATCAAAATCAAGGTAAATTCCACCATAAACTGAAATGAAAAAAATTAACTTAAATCTCTCGAATCTTTTTTTAAAGAACACGACTTCATAATGATCAACAACACCGAATTTAGCCCAAGGATGTATTCTAGTTTCTGCTTGCTCCCTTTTATCGAACTTTGCAGAATTTTAGTTGTATCATTTTAAAACTATCTTATATATTTCCTTATTTCTTTTTCTTTATTTCTTTATTTTATTTTATTTCAGACCTTTAGATTTTAGATTAGCATCTACTTATTGCACTTAAAGATTTATATTGTTAGAATGATTTCAAGATTCACTTACATTTTAATGCCTCAATCCTCATGATGTCAGAGGCATGTTCCTCGTAAGCTAGCTTTTTACCAAACACCATTGTAGGTTTCTCTCTAACAACATGTATTACATTCGGAGAAATGCTAACAAAATAGTCCCAGTATTTTCCTTTAGGAATATAAAGGCCGTGAATGAGAAATAAGCACGGTTTTAAGAACCGTAACGCACTCATAAAACTAATGAATTGAAAATAACCTAATTCTTTGTCCGCATACCAAATAAAATGTACGACATTTGGTACGGCTTTTTTCCCGAGACAGCAATTATCTATGGCTTCCGACAAACATATATTGCCGAATTCCACTGATGTAATATCACGTGTTGACGTTGTCACAGACGTCACAAATTTTGAATATGGGCCATTACAACGTAAAGAAACTTTATGTCTTTGTGTTGGATAAATGTCAACTGAGAATTTAGGACACGCTGCCTTTGTTTTAAAATTCCAATTTTTAAGATCTGTTGGTTTATCTGGAACAACTAAATAGTTCGTCCATTGTGAATATTCAGAACATATTTCTAGTCCCCCTTTTATTTTGTCTACACTGTTCTTCTTATCATGCACAACTGCTTTCGCCTTTGGAACATTTTTATCTTTATTTTCTTTCCGTTCAGGTGCAACTACATAATTTTGTTCTTTCGAATCAGCAGCGTTATATATCTCCTTAACCTCATTAATTTCTAGATCTAAATCTATTTGATTTACATGTTCTCCTTGGTTGTTCTTTAGATAGTCCAAGTCTTTATCCTTGAGTGTGACAATATCTGTTGTAACAATAAAGAAAAGGTGATGTTTAAGTCAAAGATGTATGCCATTACATATTAAACTGAGTCGGATATTTTATTATAAATAAGAATACGATTCTGATAATTTTCAATTTATTTTCCAAATGACAATGATGTTAATCCAAGGAATCATATTTCTTTAATTCAAAGTTTACTTATCAACTAATTATCGCCACTGTTCCTGCAACTGGGAAGTAAATTCACCTTATCTTTGAAATAAACCTGTCTAAGTCTAAGTTTGATTTTGTTTAAAGAATTGATAGAGGGTATATAGTAATCTGTGTATCTCACGAAAGTAAATAATTACAAACATAGACAAATGATATAAAGAATAAGAATGTCGTCGCATAAAAAGAAGGGTTGGATTTTGAGTGTTGCAGACTTACTTCGAATTTTCACTGTTTTAACAGGTACTAATACAAGTAGGTAGATATTGATCAAGACGCTGCACGTGAGCAGTATTGCCGAGAGTGTACTTCTTACAGATCGCTTCTTATTTGACACTGTTTTGTATGCTCTCAGCATTGTTTCTTTGCGGTCTTTGTGATCGTTGGGTTTATTTAAATAAATCGTCTGCACGGTATATGTTGTATACAATCAGCATATTATTCCGTCATTCACCACGGTACTTAATCTGTTCAAATAGAAAGAAAGAGTTAGTAAATGCACGTTGCGTAACTTGCTTTGTATTTACTGGTTCGCTTCTCATTTTGTTCCAAAATAATTTGTTTTGACATTAAAGTATTTAAAAATTAAAAATGGCATAATCAGCTACCCGGGCGTCTAATATTGAATAACTTTTTTATTTTAAATATTGCTATGGTAAAACGATACAAAATCTGATAACTATAGAGATAGAGACTCTTGATAATGAGTAACAAAAAATTAAAAGTTTACAGCATATCCACATGGTTATATTTTACAACAAAAATCCGTATTAAATGACAAAGATGCAGTGTATTTTACAAAACAAATGGAAAGATTAAGCTTAATGTCTTAAAACTATCACACTTTACATATACCCGTGCCTTTTTTTGCAACTCTACGGCTATTATTTAAACGTGGCGTTACGTGCGTTATACAAACTTACCCATATTAGTGTCAAGACGTAACACTCTAATCGACTCTATGAAAAAGATATTTATTTTTTTAATGTAAACAGTTCTTATTTTATGTTTGTTACTCTTGTTTTTGTACCTTCATCACTTCTTATATTGAACTCGTTGACTGAAATAATATTATGCTAACCAGAGGCCCACAAAGTTATTCTTTCATTAGACTCGTTCAATAAATTCAGTATGAAACATACACTCATTCAATCATATAAAGCATACTCCTTGTTATTTCAGAATGTCCCCTGGCTTACGAACAAATGAATCACGTTTTTCTCTTAATCATTGGCTGTAGCAATTAAAAACATTAAACTTGTTTATTTTGTTGGTTTTATTTTTTTACAAAAGGCATACCAATTAAGATGTGTGAGTCAAATGAAATTAAATCAAGTATGGCTTGTGTCATGGTTTATAATGATTTATGGAGGTATAGATTTCAATGCTACGTGTACAATTATGAAACGTTTCAGCATTAGTTTAGTTTCAGTACCACTGCACATGCTGCAACGAAATTAATTCGTTTTACTTTTACTTTGGATAGAAATTTTTAAGTGTTAACGATTTGTTTCATAAACAACTTAAGTACATTGAAGCAAATATTTTGTCATCTATAAATATTGAAATAAAGACTGAATAAATATTGACTGGTCTGTTGTGTGTACAACATTGATTTACCCAAACAAATACTCTTTTAATTTACTTATAGATTCCGTTCTGTATGCGCAATGGTTTTAAAAACTTTATTTAGTATAAATATCAAGATCAACATTTTGTTGGATTAGGTAACAAGTACATGTAATCATTCTTCAACGTGGCGAATTTACTTTTGTCATGAATTTCATTTTTTTTTGTGATTTGTGGTAACTATTTGATGTTAAAAATTAATATAATTTCAATTTGTACAATATACCATGGGCATATTTAAGACAAATTAACATCTCTTGGAAATGATTATTGAAAATAAAGAGAACAAATAGAGAGATCAAAAGAGAAGAAAAATAATAGAATGTGAATTGAAAGCTCACGATTTATTGGCTTATTTTATGTAAAAGATATGTAAATTTGTGTGTAAGAATTGTTTGGTCTCAATTTTCAAAAGAAATCTATGCATTGCTCCGTTCTATCTTCAAACTTAGCGATTGATGTAATCAATGTGTACATAAATATTATCTTTCCACTTATCAATACTGTAACAATGATTGCGTGTGTGTGTGTAAATATAAGTAAATTGCACTCATTCATTGTTAATCAATTGATTGCATCAATATACTTACCTGTAAATGTTAAGAGAAATTGTATTACTTTTATCGTTTATTTGCTTAAATCTTTTTTTAGAAATTGTACCAAAGATTGTTACTTAAACTAAAGTATGGCAAACAATTAATAAGATACCAGTAAATGGTTTGTACAAAGGTTCTACGCAATACAAATAAGGGGGAAAAATCAGACTTAAGTGCACTGTGATATAGGCCAAATAACTACTGCAAGGTATCTGGAAAAAAAAAACAATCAGTGCAAAATGATCTAAAAAAATGGCTTATAAAACGAGAAATAGTGTTTCAAATTATTTTGCCCAATAGAATTGCAGAATATCCTATTTCAAATGAATAATTACATAACACATTTACTTAAGTAAATCGGTTAAATTTAATTAGTCAAGTAAATCGACATATTTATACTAATTGGCTAAAGTGACTGCGCCGTCCGTGACCAATTTAATGTAGTAAATGCTTACTAATTAATAACCATTAATTATACTGAATTACCTTTATCAGAGAAGTTATTTAAATGACGTCAGTTCATTTATTGACGTCATTATGTATATCGGCGTGTTTTTTTTCTAACACATGCATTTATCGTTAAATAACAAGCTAAACTGTTTTGTCTTTCTAAAAAAATGCAAATATTAAAAACCATTTAAGTTTTAATTTGATAAGAAGAATTAGGGACTCAGTTACTGTTATTTATATTTATCATTGTATCATTGTATTCAAATATTAGTAGGCGGGCAAACGGACATATGAGTTGGCGTTCTTACCGCATCTACATCATGGGGTTATTTCTTTGTTATGTTTGTGTCTTTTAAAGCATTTTCAAATGCTTTAAAAGTTATCTTCAATCCTATAGTACAAACAGAGCTCACAGTGTTGTTTTTTGTTTTGTTTTGGTTTTTTTATGTTTTTTTTAGGGGTGGGGAGTTGTTCTTTTAAATGGTATAGATAGCGCTCTCGTTCAGTCATTGAATTATATTTATATCTTATGAACATTATTCACCACACGCTTATCCCTTTATGTACCCTTTGAAAATAAATGAATTTTTTTTTCAAAAATTAACTTCAAAACATTTATCTCAGGTATGTATTGAGATCAAAATATTTTCCCGTATATGCATCGAAATTGGGTGTTCTAAAGTTTTTATTATTCTAACTTACTATGCATTTCACAGAAGAAAGTATCGTACTATAATTATATAGCAATTTTGTAGTTTCAAATAGATTTTCTTTATGATAAAATTCATTTGAATTGCCCACGGTGATTCAGAAATTGACTTGACAATTGACCACTGGTACAAGTCGGTCATTTGTACTACAAATATGTGTCATCAAGATATCAACATCACATCTTAATTGAATGTCTTTATATCTGAGTCTGATTCTTTACACATAAGTATAAAAAGGGAACTTTTAATTTAAGCATGGCTCTTCATGGTTTGTTTTGCTTTTTAGTATCTTTAGCATATAAGCCGCGTCACGACAAAACCAACTAAATGCGTTTGCGACCAGCATGGATCCAGACCAGCCTGCGCATCCGCGCAGTCTGATCAGGATCCATGCTGTTCGCTATCAGTTTCTCTACTTGTTATAGAGTTGGTAAGCGAACAGCATGGATCCTGATCAGACTGCGCAGAGGCGCAGGCTGGTCTGGATCCATGCTGGTCGCAAACGCGTTATGTTGGTTTTGTCATGACGTGGCTCATCTATCTGCATATTTTGACTAGTTACAGATGATGTGTGTTGACAGTAAACTTTGCTTTAATCATTTAATTAGTGATCTTGACAATTATGTTACATATTAAATCTTTTTCAAATAAATCAACACGCAAATGTAGAGACGTGTTGCTTTAATTACTAAAGTTAAGGTATCATCTTATTACATAGTAAATGATAGAAGCGTGGAAAAAGGTTACAGTCCTGTTAATACATGTATGGGATTTTTTTATTATAATTTTGCATGGTTAGCGTCAATTAAACTTTTGAAAAATGTAATAGCACATTAAGCGTCAATGACAGGAACGTAAATAACACAGTACGTAGAAGACAAGAGCTGTCAATAGGACGGAGTGCCCGACTTCTCTAGCGTGCTTGATAGTAAAACAAGAGCCTGATAATGTACGAGACTACGAGTATAGGAAGCCAGAGGATGAATATTTCATTTCAATATATATATATATATATATATATATAATACTTTTACAAGTCTTGGCTATTGACCGAAGAATTTACTTATTTTACGTAAAATGGAACATATTTCATTCCCAATCCATGACATTGTTATAATTCCGACAACATGAATAACGTTTCTAATAAATGCCATCATTTCTTAATATACTCGTTACATGCGTAACCTAAACCACAACATAAGGCCATTATTCAGTCAAAATCCATGCCAAAGTTATGGTCCTTGGACAATGGCCTCTAAAATAATTCCAAATCTATGTCTTAAGTTTATAGTGAATTTTTACAGTAGTTTTTTTTTAATTTTTAAGTTAAATCAAGATTTCATTTAAAGTTCAATTAACACAGAGTCATGAATAACATCTCTGATAAGATTCAAAATCTATATCGGACTTAAGTTATTGGCCTTGAATATAGCCTTCCAATTACGATCCCGAAGACGTGATTCAAGTTTCAAGTGAATACATTTTATAGTTTTAAAACTTGATGTTGCATGAGTATTTTCTAATTTCACAAAGGGGCATAATTCTGTCAAAATCGATGCTAGAGTCTTGGCTTTGAAAAGTGATCTGAAATAAATGTGTGAGGTGGCAAAGGGGTTAAGAGGTATAATGCTATACATGTTGCACGTAGAACTTTAACCGACTCCCAGATGAGAATGGTATATAGGCTCATTATTCTTTAAAGAGTCGAAGTACAAAGAAAATTGAACAACTGTTGATATTTAAAGATAATGCGTTGTTGAACAGATAAAAAATTTTACTTGTTGAATATAATAAAAAAAAACCTAATGTGACAATGAAAATGTTTCCTTAAGATATTGGATAGTGTCAATGAAAAGATAATAATTTTATATCACATTTTAATATTAGAAACAGTATGTCAATGGAGACACAAAGTTTATTACACGGTTAATACTAGAAACAGTAAGTCAATAAAAGTGGACACAAAGTTTATTACACGGTCAATATCATAAACAGTACGTCAATGAGAATTCTGCGATGGTTATTGCACAGTTAGAGTAAATAAAAAGATAGCGAAAACTATTAATAGATTTGTATTTTTAAAAAGGTCGTCAATTTAACATTTAATTGATACTGACCATGCAGTTAGCGCCAAAGAATCACTCCATTTGCTTTTGCTGCATACGTTTTATGTGTATATTGGTTTTAAATGCATTTTAAGCAATAAAATAATTTTAAACTAAACTAATAAAAAACAATGTTATTTACTCAATTAATATAAGAAACAGTTCGTTTAATGAAATATAACTTTTTCATAAGAAGATAACGAATGCTTTTTCACAGTAAATAAAGGAAAATGTTTAACTTTTGATACAAAACGAAAATGAAAAGATAACAATCTATAATATACGGTTGACAATAGAAATAACGTACCCATGACAATTTCGGAAGAAAAATGTAATAATTTCACAGTAGGAATGCGACAAAGAGCACCCTTGCAAAGTTCGCGGAGGACATATCATATGCATGAAAATAAATCATAGAAGAGAGAGCAATTTCGAAAATTTAATTTTTTATTGTTAGACTTAAATATAGGTTTTACAAAAATATCTATATTTACAAAAGATATGCACAAATTGTCAAATAAAAGTAATGCTATTTCATCATGAAAATAAAACAATAGTAACGAGAACTTAAATTTGCTTAAATCGTAATTTAAAACTTAAGATCGGAATTTCCAATTTTTTAAACATTATTTTTTACATCCATCATTACTGGTTATTATAATACATAAACTTAGATGAATTATTTGCCCTTGAAATCATTACGTTATTGACAGCTTTCAGTTCTATTTACATTATCGTCATATTTGTAAGATAAACAATTATTCTATTTAAGATCATACTATGGTATACGTAGTATATATTTACAAAAAAAATAATAAAAATAAACAATAAAAATAATAATCTAAAAACAAATACCATTGTCCAATATAAGCAGTAGATGTAAGTTCCATTCAGTTTTATAATAATTTTGTTTAATGATGTCCACACCTTAAAGGTCCTCCGTATTAATGTTAAGATTTTTGGAGAAAATAGTATGGTGTATTTGTTCCTTATACACTTGTCCTTTTGTTATGTCTGATATAATCGGATACTCGGCTATGGTCCGATGATTACTTAAAATCGATGTTATTATATTAAGCTATAGGTTGCCTCTGCGCTTTAAAGGAATGGTGTGTACTACAATGACCAGTTATTTTGAAATACCTTTTTAATTTATTTTGTTGAGTGTGAAAAACGTTTTGATTGTTTACCAGGGTATTTCTCAAATATATCATAAATTAAATGTACATGCATGACAATACAACAATGGATTTGAATCGCAAATTTTGAGAGGTATGTTTTACATTGTATTTATTTTATATAATTTTTTTACTTGAGTCACAAATTTTTAATGAGACTGTAAGGGGTGGGGTACTTGCTAATGCAATTCGGACCATTTCACATTTTCCCCAAGGTTTATCTAGTCGTGTTCATAGCAATTTCTCTAGAAAACTTCATGTAATTTCGTATTCGTCTGACAAGTTTCCGACTCATCAGCTCGACTGGAATATCCGGCTTCTACTTGAACCATCACAAACACTACCAGGAAGTCGTCACGTGATTGTAATAGTATTACTTTTGATTTAATAACAAAATAAGGGTTGGTAACATAAACATTATATAAACCTAAATTCTTAAAATTGTCTATGCACCGTGTTTGCCTTTATTCTTTATCCGAACGGAACAGCGCAATTATAGGTGCGACGTTATTGATCTGTAAGGGTGTGTGAAATTATTAGATTTTGTAATTACGAACGCGTGCATTTTTCTCATTGTATCCTTTTATCACGAAACTGATAATCGTATAATATACTCCTTTAACGGGTCACTATTTTAACCTCTTCGTCAGTAAATGACAGAGATCAATATTCCGAATACCTCCGGTTATTACAATTATCAAATATTCTAAATGTTAACACCCGACCACGTTCTTTGCAAGATAAAACATAAACATGGTTCCTGATTTTGTTCTTTCTATATTAATTCATATCGCATGGCAATAAGTGTTATTTTTTTTTTTGTTCTTTCTAACCCATTATACTCGGTACATTTCCATTTATGATTTGAAAATTGTATTGATATTAACAGTACAGTTTTTCCACTTTAGTCATAGAGAACAAAAAAAAATTTTTGCACCTGTTATATATCGGTTTTAAAAGTTTTTTTACGGAGGTTCAAAGGGGTCATAAGGTCAATTGGGGCATGGGGTAACACATTCAAGATAAAAAAAGAGCCGGTTTAAACGAGTGATGCTCCCCGAACAAGTTTTGGACACAGAGAAAAAAATTTCTTGCTTATATCTCTTGTAGTTTCAGAGTTATGTCCCGGACAAAGTTCACAGTGCAAAATGAACAAAGAGCAATAACTCCAAACTAAGGCAAGGCAGAGTTACGTTTCTTATGCAAAGTACGAGCGTACATCTACTTAATGAGATCTATCTACCAACAAAGGTTCTTGTTGATATCTCATTTCAGATTTCATTATGTCCCGGACAAAGTTCAAAGTGAAAAATTAACAAAGGGCAATAACTCCAAAATAAGGCTAGGCATAGTTACGGTTCTTTTGCACTGCGCTTCTACACAACGGTTCTTTTACATTGCAAACACCACTTTTAACGGCTGCGCTCACTGACTTATTATATATAGCCAGCTGTGAGGTCCCTTAGACAGCATTAGCTGGTATTGGTTCATTTTATCAGGGGTTTCCATTTGATACAGAAGTGAAAGGGCACAAGAGAGGGTACTGCACATAATATTTTTTTACTGATTTCTGTTACAAAGAATAATGAAATTTCGATAAAACAGTTATTATATATGAAACTCGTAAATTACGGGGGTAAAACAGTCTCGGGATGTTCCTACAAAAAAATCGTCTCGGCCTAACGGCATCGACAGGTTTTTGGGCGGAAATATCTCTCGATGTCGCCCCCGCCACTGTTATACCCATGTAACTAACTCGTTTCATATACTAGAACTATTACATATCACAAGAGCTATTATTTTTGTATATAAAATCTTGTATTTTTGTATATAAAATCTTATGATATTGCACGTTTGTTACGTCGTTTTTCATTGGATAATCGTGTATAGTACAGTTTTATATACACATAGGCAGTAAATTTATGGAGAAATCTTTTTTCTTTCAAAAAGGAAGTTTGCTTTATTATAAATGCTTTACAAAGATTCCCGACAGGTTATATGGCCGTGTATTAACGGCTGTTAACAATATCTTATAAAACAACTGCTGGTATTTTGCAGAATCAATGTTTGTACGTCATAATAAACGCGACGTCAAAATGACGTTACACTATTTGTTTTGCCTCATGTTTCCTTCACAAGTTATTGATCAGACAAGAATTTTACACTATCACCGTGTTCTTGACCTCAAAATTAAAAGTTTACTTACTGGACACGAGCAATGGTCATACCAAGACCTTGCAAAGAACTTCCAAAATTATTGATTGGGCAAAGTTTTTCCTTCAAGTACCACTGTGACCGTGACCTTTGACGTCATGACCTCAAAATCAGTTGGGGTCATCTAGTGCCCACGGGCATTATCCATGCACAGTAACCTTAAACACGGCCTATATGTTCGTAAGAAATTGATCGGAGAAGGATAACAGGCCGAAAGGAATGGTCGGAATTTCGTATGGGCGGACCACCCTATCACAGCATGAAGTGGGAACATAAAAAACTAAGTGAATCATGAACGCTAATTATTGTTAATTGTCAATTTAATTTTGTTTTGTCATTGTCATTATTGTTAATTTGTTAATTGTATAATTTTTTCAGTGAGATCGAGCTGATGAGAAGATAAGAAGGAAATATGAAACGAGCAGTCAATAAAAAGGTAAATTATTCTTAATATCTTCTTGGATTCATATTAAACTAAGGACCACTTAAAGTAAGGAGTAGCTCATTACATAAAGACACGAATGTCTTCAGTGGCATTTGTACAGTATAAAGTAATTTGACAGATACTTTAACGACATATGATACTGTTTAAGGAGTGTATAATAATAATAATAATAATAATAATAATAGAGGCTACAAATAAGTTGGAACGATATAAATTGCCTAACATCATATTTATATTATTTAACAGACTTTAAATGATTTGCCTACAACACATTGATTAGTTAAAGATCCTGTATGTTTTGTGATTGATATTGTTACTGTATGTATCATACACTTGCAAAATATTATATATGTATATAATTATGCAAATAAAACAATTTTCAAACATCCAAGAATATGTAAAATGTGTACTAAATAAATTTCTAATTACCTCCCTTTATTTACGCAAAATGTTAAATTGGGTAATATCTTTATAAATAATGCTTATTTGAACTTACAAGATTGACAAATCTTAATTTGAGCATCATATTTATGAAATAAAACCATGAAAAAAATGTGTTACAGGATCTTTAAAGCCGTGTTAGCATCATTAAAACAGCTTTTAATGTTCAAGACTGTAAAGTTTATATAAAATCTTGATAAATATAGACATTTTGAATATAAAGAAAGGACAACACATGACAAATTCGACACATTTTCTCGTGAATAGTGTCCCGATCAACCTGTAGGTTTCAACACGAAGTTGGAATCTATTTGAGCCGTCACGACAAAACCAACATAGTGGATTTGCGACCAGCATTGATCCAGACCAGCCTGCGCGTCCGCGAAGTCTGATCAGGGCTTACAGACCCTATAACAAGTAGAGAAACTGATAGCGAACAGCATGAATCCTGATCAGACTGACCGTAAATTGTCAATCTAATATATAACATACATTTGCCTTTATTACATGACTGCAAAAGCCCATGTTATTTCTGTTTGTATTGACATTTCAAATAAAATATTCAGGTTATTATAATTTTCAACATTTAAATTTACAATAACTTTACACGCTTCAGTATATATTAACTTTTCTAGTGTTACTTTACCAGCAAAGTAAATGTAATCAAATTGAAAGTCAACTGTAATTACAATGTACTGTCATAATGGCTTTAGAAACAACATAAAGTATATAGTCTGTGTCGTAAGAAATTTGTTTAGAAAAGTCAACACAATAGTCTCATATTGAACATTCATAAAAATCTGTAAGTTACAATATCACGCACATACAAAAACATATTTTTAAAATTTATTATACTGTATATCTATAGAGAATCAACTAAACTTGTACACTGAACAAGCGATATTTTCAACATGGTTTGAAATGACAAACTTCAAGCTTTACTTGCAAAAGAAGATATATTCAACGCTATAAATGCTGTATATTTGTGTAATGACGAGGAACTGTTATGTTCAAGTCATATTGAATAATAAAATTTGTTCTGTTCTGCTATAAAGTGTTTTCCCCTCCTGTAGAAGTTTTAACATCACAATAGAAGATGATAGAGCGGCTTGGAACATGGAATGCTGCCATATCGTTGTGTGGTTACAGGAGACTTTACAGCTTTAAAATCAATGATCGTACCAATACAGCCAGAAATGCTCTTGTTCGCTTTAGAATAATCATTTTATTTTAAGATCATTTGAGCCGCGCCGTGACAAAACCAACATAATGGGTTTGCGACCAGCATGAATCCAGACCAGCCTGCGCATCCGCGCAGTCTGATCAGGATCCATGCTGTTCGCTATCAGTTTCTCTACTTGTAATAGAGTTGGTAAGCAACAGCATGGATCCTGATCAGGCTGCGCGGAGGCGCAGGCTGGTCTGGATCCATGCTGGTCGCAAACCCACAATGTTGGCTTTGTCGTGACGCGGCTCATTTATTCTTAATATAACATTCATTTAAACATTTACAGGTGATGCGGCTGAAGTTTGACACCGTCATTTGGTAAGTTTCTTTAATGCATATTTTCTGATTAAAAACAAAAAACAAGCAAAAACATGTCAGTGTAATTAGTGTTTATGAATTGATGCATCGGCAAAATATCAATTTAACAATGTCCCATGTAGCCTAAACATTTATTTTGAGTTCTCAACAAATTTATTCTCAAGAACACACGCTTATCTTTGAACGGAAAACTTGTACATTTTGTCAATATTTGAACTCATAAAAAGATGTGTAAATTTACTCTTAAGGAGAGATCACCCCATGATACAAAGGGCTCTACATTTTATAAAATAAGTTTAATGACAAATGCGCAAAGAGCATGAGATCTGGCTGAACCATGAAAAGTTCCAACCTATACTTGCTTTATTGTGTAAATAGTTTTAATTAACTTCACAAAGATAATATATAATCATATTGAATTCGATCTCCCCCTCCTCTTTAATAACAGTAGTAGCGTAGCGTGCACTTCCGTTATTTAAGAATCGCCGCTTTTTTATTCGTGTTTTTACTTTTTTTATAAGTACAACTGCGTTACTGTCATAAAAGTAGACGTTCTAAAGAAAGTTATCAAAATATTGAAATAAAAAATTTATAAGATACTTTAAAAAAAAACAGTATCATAAATTAATAAAGATATGACAGTTTTATAATTAACTTGAAATCTTTGTCGAAAGTAATCCGATATCACCTAGCAAACTTTCAAACTTTTTAAAGGAATATCTTCCGTTTCATATTATATCTACAAACAAGGTAAAAGTAACCTCAATCAAAATAATTTCTATAAGAAATATGTGTCATTGACCTCATACTGAAATACGAAGCCTTTGTAAACGTAATTATCCATCGTGACTATAGTATAATTAAGCCGCGTCACGACAAAACCAACATAGTGCGTTTGCGACCAGCATTGATCCAGACCAGCCTGCGCATCCGCGCAGTCTGATCAGGATCCATGCTGTTCGCTTACAAACCCTATTACAAGTAGTAATACTGATAGCGAACAGCATGGATCCTTATCAGACTGCGCGGATGCGCAGGCTAGTCTGGATCCATGCTGGTCGCAAACGCACTATGTTGGTTTTGTCATAAAGCGGCTCAATTACACTTGTAACTGTAAATGTACTGAAATACTAAATGTTCGTGATAACAGATTTCTCCGATTGAATTAGATCTACACCCATTTTTTTTCATGCAAGTAGTTGCAGGTGTAACTTGCGACTCCCAAAAGAATTGAAATAAAATGTGATTCATATTTTAACATTCAAATTAAGTGGCTCGCCTTCATTGACATAGAATAGTTTCCGTGTAATACGAAACCCGGATATGTTGAATAAGTGCTGTTGGTTATGAAAAATAAAACCGACTTTGTTTATACAAGGTTCTCCTTTATCACGATATATGAAGGAACGCTATGACTCAAAGTTCATTCGGATATGCATGTATAAAGAAAAAAATATGTTGGCGTGGTTTGTAAATGAAAAGAACATCCTTGTTTCTGCTTATACGCTGGGCTGGCCATGATGATGTATTGTACAATTATATATAATTATAGACTAATAATAACTTTATTTTGTAATAATAACACATTTAGCAATTCTGCCTTTACCACGTGACTTTGTGATCTGTGTGGGGCGTATAAAACAACAACAAAAATTTGTACAAATAACGGTCCAGGTGGTATTTTCTTCTATTATTATTGCTTTCTTTTCTCTTTCTATTTATTTATTTATTTATTTATTTATTTATCTATTTCATATTATTGTGATATTTCTTTATTCTACATGGGATAAAGAGTAGATCTAACTCATTCTAGTTAGTCACCTATACATGGAATGTTTGCTTAAGGTTAAAAAGTAAAAAAACAACAGTATTTGTTTCGCAAAGTGAAACCGCGCGAAAGCCCTAATGTTCAAAGTTCAAACATACGGTTGCATCTTTATGGAAAAAATACTGATTTTTTTTTTAGTAAACATATTATGCATTTGTTAACCAATAAATAGGTAGGCTAGACACTTAATTTGGTTTATACAAATTTATTTAGTTCGATTGTGTTGGAAGCTATAAGCTTATTGAAACACTCTCGAAGACACTTAATTTCATAGACACGATGAAATATTAAAAAAATTGGAAGAAAATACTACAAATGTACCTGAACAGTCTTGTATTGTTTGTTTTTCCCAAGCAGATCACTTGTGCGTGATATAGGCACCGTGGTTAAATTGTGATAAAATGGAGGTATATTTGCTATGGCATTAAGTTTTACAGTAGAATTATGTGGTAAAAACAAAACTAAATATGTTCACATAATATCGGTTACTAAATTTTAAAATCAAAGACGTGATGTGTTATGTCTGTTTTCGCTTTTACATAACAAATATGATTTACATCATAGTGCTCATAGTAAATATTTTATTTCATCAAAATTATAACCATTAAAAGCCATACAACTCCAAGCTTTATGAACTGATAAAAGAAACAACAATACAAAATATGTCTCAATGGCGGACATCCGCCGTGATGTTCGTAGTATTTTAATACGGTAAACGGTAAAAGGGATCGAGTGAGAGTACACTTTGCATATTTAGCCCCGCCTATAAATTAAGCACGAATTTCTGATAAAGCGTTAACATCCTGATTAAAATACACTCATGAGCGTCACTGTGAAATCACACATAGTATAGTTTTCATTGAACAGAAAGAAATAAGGAGATCAGGTAAGTCGACCATCTATGTGTACATACTCTTTTTCATTATGGAACAGATATGAGGGGATCGCGTAAAAGGATCAGGTGATCATCTTGATGTACATAATTAAACTATAGCTTTCATTGAACAGAAGTAAGGGGATCACGTAAGATAACCAGGTGATCATCTAGATGTATATATACATGTACTATTTGCCTCCGTGGCCGAGTGGTTAAGGTCGTTGACTTGCCCCTCACCGCTTTGGGTTCGAATCCCGACAGGGACTTTGGATTCTTTCATGTGAGGAAGCTATCCAGCTTGCTTACGGAACGTCGGTGGTTCTTATCAGGTGCCCGTTCGTGCATGAAATAATGCACGGAAGGGCACCTGAGGTCTCCCTCCGCCAGTAAAGCTGGAACGTCGCGATAATCTTACGTGATCCACTTATTTCTGTTCAATGAAAACTATAGTATATGTACATCTAGATGATCCCCTTGTCATTTTACTTGATCCCATCATATCTGTTCCAAAATGAAAAAGAGAATGTACATCTACATGATATCCTTGTAATCTAACGTGATCCCCTTATTTCTGTTCAATGAAAACTATAGTATATGTACATCTAGATGATCCCCTGGTCATTTTACGTGATCCCCTCATATCTGTTCCTTAATATAAAAGAGTATATGAACATCTACATGATCCCCTTGTCATTTTACGCGATCCCCTCATATCTGTTCCATAATGAAAAAGAGTGTGTACACATAGATGATCCCCTGGTCGTTTTACCTGATCTCCTTATTTCTTTCTGTTTAATGAAAACTAAAGTATGTGTTCATCTTGATGATCCGCTGGTCATTTTACGTGATCTCTTTAGTTCTGTTGAATGAATACTATAGTATATGTACATCTAGATGATCCCCTTATTTCTGTTCAATGAAAACTATAATATATGAACATCTAGGTGATCCCCTTGTCATTTTACGCGATGCCCTCATATCTGTTCCATAGCGAAAAAGAGTATGTACATCTAGATGATCCCCTGGTCACCGTACGTGATCCCTTTATTTCTTTCTGTTCAATTAAAACTATATTAAATGTACATCTACATGATCCCCTTGTCATCTTACGTGATCCCCTTATTTCTGTTCAATGGATACTATAGTATATGTACATCTAGATATTCCCTTGTATTCTTACGTGATCCCCTTATATCTGTTCCATAATAAAAAAGAGTTTATGTACATATAGATGATCCCCTTGTCATTTATTTGATCCACTCATATATGTTCCAGAATGAAAAAGAGTATATACATCTAGATGTCACCTGGTCATCTTACGTGATCCCCTTATTTCTGTTCCATGAAAACTAAAGTATATGTACATCTAGATGATCCCCTGGTCATTTCATGTGATCCCCTTATATCTGTTATATAATGAAAAAGAGTTTATGTACATCTAGATGATCTTGTAATCTTACGTGATCCCCTTATTTCTGTTCCATGAAAACTATAGTATATGTACATCTAGATAATCCCCTGGTCATCTTACGAGATACCCTTATATCTGTTCCATAATAAAAATGTTTATATGCATTTCCCTCATATATGTTCTTTAAGAACTACAGTGTTTATACACCTTAAAGACCAGATGACCCTTCTTCATATATATTCCATCACTACTAATGTATATTTACATCTAGATGATTCCCTGCTCATCTTACATTAACCTCTCATGCATCTTCTATCAAAACTAGAGTATATGTTCATGTAGATGATCTCTTGGTCCTCTTATAATGTGATTCCTCATATATCTTTAATGAACATAAGTATACATTGTGTACATGTGCATTCAGATGATCCTACAATCATCTTACTTGATATCCTAACATAGGTTCATATGCTCATTAAATTATTAGGCATATGAATGAAAAAACATTATTGTACAATTGTATGTCCTGAAGTTTAAAGCCTGTTGCCATTTTTTAGACATATGCATATATTTATTAGGAGGATTAAGCATATGCATTATTTCACAGTGACGCTCATGATTTCCATAGATTAAGTCTATTTTAATCAGGATGATAACGCTTTATCAGAAATTCGTGCTTAATTTATAGGCGGGGCTAAATATGCAAAGTGTACTCTCACTCGATCCCTTTTTCCGTTTACCTTTTAATACTGCTAGAACAATGTCAATGTTAATTTTTTAATTAGATTTCGAGATTCTAGTATCATGACATATATCATCTGTTTGTTTTCAGGTCCGTATTTTTGGTGATGCTGATCTACCTGGCGCTTTCTTTTACAATACATTCTCAGTATACACAACTGGTGTCGGGAGCAAATAAGTTTCAACGACACCAACTACACAACGCAGTTAACACCAAACATGAAGATTCCGAAAACGATGTCGTTAATGGTGTTGACGATACTTTAAAAGTTAGACGTCAAAATGATTTAGAATCGGCCAATAAGGCTTTTCTGAATATAAGCAGTGAACAAAAGAATAAATCAAACTTGAAACTTAAACCGTCTACGCACATTGCCTTCCTTAAAGTACACAAGACAGCTAGCTCAACTGCCCAGAATGTGTTTCTTAAATTTGGTGATGAAAATAACTTGACGTTTGTTCTTGCCCACACAAAAGGTGAGTCAGGTTGGTTAAATGTTATCAGTTATACTAATTCAGTAACAAATACGAATGTTGTGCCTCCACCTCCTGGAAAACATTACGATCTACTTTGTTGTCACGTGATCTACGACCGGAAGTCGTTTGAAGCTATTTTACCACCGGATACAGAATATATTGGAATAGTGCGGGAGCCAATTTCCAGATTTCAGTCCGCAGTTAAGTATTTTAGTCCAAATTTCATTTTAAGATTACCAGGAAAAACACCTTTATCTATATATGCTAAAAATCCTTTAGCTTTTGAGCCGGAAAATCCGCGCAATTCACAAACAAATAATCGGATGGCAACAGAATTCGGATTTCCAACTGAACTGTTTCCAGGAAAAGAATTGAACGGATCACAAACAGATATTGACAAATATCTATCAAAACTAGATAAAGAATTTAAATTCATAATTATTTCAGAAAAATTTGAAGAGTCAATGGTAATTATGAAACGATTATTGAATTGGCATACCAAAAGCATTTTATATTTAGACAAAAATGTGGGCGGTAAAATAACCAATACAAGAAAGATTTTACCGCCGGAAAATATTGAAGACATTAGAAAATTCTTATACTTAGATACAGCAGTTTATAACTTTGCGATGAGAAGGTTTAACAAATATGTTGAAGATGCCGGTAAAGAATTCAGTGATGAGGTTGAAAATTTTAAATCATTACGAGAAAAGGTGATAACTTATTGTCATCAATCTAAAGCATTATCTATGTTTATACAAGCCACAAAGTGGTATCAGGAATTTACTATTACCAAGACAGATTGTAACATGTTTACAAAACATGAGAAAGATCTTATACAGCGGCAGAGATTTAGAATGTACGGTGTTTTAGAAAATTAGTTTGTTGTATTATTTACGTGATTTGTTTATTGTTAGGCAACCCTATTGTTGCCAATTGTATTAAATATACATTATGTTTTCTAAATTAGGTTCAACTTAAAATCTACTTCTTTTTAATGCGTTCAAACGTTCTAGTCTGGAGTGTTGTATATTTCACTGGTATATTTTCGCAAAATATATCACATTCATTAAGTTCCCCGATTATAAACTCTTTTACTATTTAAGACTACTTAAACATAGCACTCCTTTTCATCCAATATAATAGGTCGATAAAATACCAAATTATTAATAGTATAAACCCACGGATTTCTTTTTCAAAAGCATTTATTCTTTATCAAAGAAATCTTGGTTGATGACATAGAGAATTGCCGAAGGCGTTCTATTTTGTCTGAATTAAGTGACCACAGTTGTAAGAGAGATGTTATAAAAGTATGATTAACCGTTGGAGACAAAAATATCATAATAGAACAGTGTGATGTTAAGCGGTTATTGTTATCTTTTAACAATGAAAGTAGACCTGCTCAACAGACGAGAATTAATTTGCAAAAAGGGCGCGGTACGCTAACAAGTTGCAGTCGTATTTTCCCACGGACCACATTTTGTCATTTTTTTCTTAAAATCTGCTTTAGAGTATGTAAATCTTTCCGCTAAATTTGCACTTATCATATTTACTTTGTTAGTCATCGTCTGCTGCAGAGATATTCATATATATGTCTGAACTGATTTAAAATTTACTATTTATCTTTTACAATAAACTATTAAAATTCCATATTTTTTCCAAATATACCACTCATAAACAATGTCTGTCGGTAGATTTACCTTTCGTTTCGTTTATCTTTCTTAAAGTTTTATTACTTGTTCCATTCATCCTTCGTTTTGTTTATATATGTCTTCCAGATCATCACTCACCTTTATAATCACCCCTCATACTTGTCATTTATTATATATCTACATCTACGTTTGTCCTGTAGTATACACAGCATATGTCTAGTCACACTGTGATACTGTAGATATTGAACTGTACAATATTACTGATAAATCATACAGTTGTTTCACAAGAGCAAATAAATTTGTCATATATAATATATCTTTGTTCTATTTCATAAGTTAAGAAGATGACATTAGTTTAAATAAAATATATAGAGAGAGTAATGAGCTTATTTAACATCATCTTTAAAGAATTGCTTAGAAACATGAATAGTGTATTTGATAAATTACAAAATGACATTTTTTCTGCCCATGAAGCAATATCCCAAAACTGCATCCCAATTTGTTATAAGAACATGTGCATGTAGTTCAGCCCGTATTTTTTTTTAATTGCAAAGTGAGAACCCTCTCACTTACTGCTTTAAATCTTAATTAGAAAGCCGCCCCAGTTATCCCAAGTTGCTACACCTATTAAGTATTATGTATTTACAATATACATCTTAGAATTTTGATATTTTGTCTTTTTAGTGCATAAATAAAAAAAAATGCATTCTTTTGTCATCACAATGATAAATAAATATAAGAATACTCGAACGTTGTAGTGCATTGTTTTATCATCGCAATGATCAATTGATACAATAGCACGTTTAATTAAATTGTTTTATTATCACAATGATTAATAGATACAAGAACATATTGCTGCACATTGTTGTATCATCACAATTATTAATAGATACAAGAACATATTGCTGCACATTGTTGTATCATCACAATGATTAATAGATACAAGAACATATTGCTGCACATTGTTGTATCATCACAATGATTAATAGATACAAGAACATATTGCTGCACATTGTTGTATCATCACAATTATTAATAGATACAAGAACATATTGCTGCACATTGTTGTATCATCACAATTATTAATAGATACAAGACCATGTTGTATTGCATTGCTTTATCATCATAATGATTAATAGATATACGAGACAACACATTACATACGTATAACACATTGTAGTTCATAGAACATATTGTAGAGCCTATTTTATCATCACAATGATTAATAGACACAAGAACATATTGTAGTGCATTGCTTTGTCCTCCCAATGATTAATGGTCATAAGAACATAATTATTGCACTGCATGGTTTTATCATCACAAAGAGAAACATATACAAAACACTTTGCACTGCATTGTTTATTTATATTCGCAGTGATTAAAGAATACAAAAAGATACATTAAAGTGTATTGTTTTATCAACACATTGATTATTAAAAAAGTTAAAATACGCTGATCATTAGTCAACATATGCGGCTTAAATTTAAATTCGTGGATGAAGAACTATTTGTGACACTTGTCGTCAAGAGAATGTTTCATATACTTGATACTAGTATGAAGTATAAATTTAAATATTTGTTTTACGTAAAGTGGAGGACGAGACAGACGAATCGTGATTTTATATCATCCGTATTTCAGCACAATGCGAAGTTAATTTGACAAACCCAATACCGGGGTTTCTATTAAAATAAAAAAGGCGTTGATATGTATTACAAAACTGTTTATCATGTCAATTGACGTTGTTATATTTTTAGATCATACTTCATCACAAATCACAATGACAATTGAAATATTTTAATCACGTTCTTTTAAAATCGCTTATAACGATTTACATCATATGAACACTTTGCTTAAATAGCCACGTCAGTGGACTTCGTCTTGATTCATAGATTAAGGAATGCCTTTTGGACCATCATGGAATACTGTTATAAAATACTACGATAATTATAATGTGATAGAATGTTATGTTTTAGTTATCATACTGTCGCATTATCACCATCGTACTGTCGCGTTAGTTTAATATCATTTTTATACACACAATATACAATTTTACAAACAAAATCATTGCGTGTACATACATAAGGGTTGGGCCAAAAGTTCTAAAATCGTACTGTCGTATTATCGTACTGCCGCATTGTTGTGTTATTGCACTGACGCATTGTCGTGCTTTCACACTGTCGTGTTTTATTTTCTTGGTGAAGAAAGAAGAAAAGTCGTTCTTAAATTCCGTTCAAGGTTTATAGAGTGTAATCGTCTCATCTATATGGTTCTGCGAGTGAATACCACAGATACCACAGATAAAACAACACCACAGTACAAAATTATGATAACGGCATGATAGTTTGATAATACGACAACGCGAGAGTACCAAAACGAAAGCGGGACAGTACGGTGATGATAATGTAACAGCCGATTATGATAATAATTTTATTTCACAAACGCTCATTATTTTTGGGACAACGAAAACAAAGTATTATTTGATTAAGGACGCATTTACATTCAATGGACAAATTCTTTCTGAATTCTGAAAATTGGCCTTTCTTAATGTAGTAAAATAATATAAAGGAGTATCGAAAACGAATGTTTTGGTTTAAAACTTGTTTCATTCATAGTGACAATTGTAAGTCTGGGTCATGCGTATTTTACAATAACCGACACCGTAGGTTGCACCAAATTAGCCCAGATAAAAAAAACTACTAAGCTGTTTCAAATGACACACCGTTAACAAAAATTATAATACTTTTTTATCTGATTGGTTTCTAAATCCGATTGGTTCCTATAAATAAGCAAATTAAATTCATCGTTTCATAAGAACTATTGAGAAGGATTATTAAGAAGGATACTTGAGTCCCCCAAAAATGATATACCCAAAAAGTTGGTCCACTTTTTTCGCTGTAGATATGTGCTAGAGACACAGGGCATCGGCCGGTGATATGAAGAATTTGGAAGAACTTGGGAAGGCAAAAAGCAAAACCGAATCTTGTGCCCTGCGAAACAGCAGCTGCCTATGTACTTCTGAAGTCGAGGATATTGACCCTACAAAGTAGGCAGTGACGGCGAGAAAGAGTAGAAGAGTGTGTGAGCCATAGAACGTAGTGACGGTTTGATCCTTGGCACCAAAAGTCCTGATCAGGGCTACCTCATCTCTGGTTACTATAAATTTAGGTACTCATTGTCGTTACAGTGACCTACTTACCTACTTTCGTCTTTGACTAATACTCTCAGAGGAGGGGGGGAGGTGTCGAATGTATAGAGGTACAAAATTTTAAGCGAGGTGAAATGGTAGGTTACAAAGTAATAGCGGATTTCAGAATATTAGCAATCGTCAGAGTGAGTTTTTTTATATAAAATTGGTTGAGTATTTTACTGACACAACTACAAATTTTGAGTTGATCATGTGGATCTCTGATGTTAACATATAGTTTAGGTTGAAAAGTGAAGTTATTGAAGGTAAATTGGCAGTACCTGATATTGTGACGGTAAAAGATCAAAGACCATATCGTGAATGTTTGGTACTATTTCTTCTTACAAATTAGCTTCTAAACTCATTATTGAATTACATAGCACAAATAACTTTTGTGCAAAGATAAATATTGACGTCTTGTTGTGTAGATATGTATGTGTTCGATGGGTTTTGGTACGATAAGATAACTGTACGCTACAAACGTTGACAGTGCTAATGACTACTATAAATAATCTTTGTTATCTTAGGACCTTGCTTAAAATTTGTCTGTATTTTACTGTCTCTTCTTTGTTGCTAATGGCATTGCTTATACTTGTAAATACTCACATAATTCTGCCACTTTTATTTCAAGAATAATCTTTTATTCACCTTGTAGATCTTTTCAAATAAAATGCACAGATGCGTGTCTGTCTGTTTCCCAACATATAGCAAAATATAAATACCAAGTATATTTTATGTTTTGACAAAAATATTTTTTATAAATAACTAGTGTTGATTCAATTTAGTTTATTTAAATTTCAAAAAGTAGAAAATCAGTAAAGTAAGCCTTGTACGTATTTTATTTACCATGTAGAAATGAATTAAATTATAGTTTACTATAGTTATTGACCATGAATTATTAAAGGGAAGTAAATGCTAAAATATTTATTTTGTAAAGTTACATAAGTTATTGCCCCTTTTTGTCACTCGAACGGCGGGCTTTCCCAGATATAAAACAAAATGTATTGATGCTAAATGTGATAATGTTGGGTAAAGATAGACAAATTCTAGAGCGTTATTTATATATATTCTAATGTTTTTTTTTTCAAGTAATTCCCTGTCTCCTATAACTTTCTTCCTTTTCATAAAATCTTTATGGGTTTTCCTCTCAATGTCTGGCTGACTGGTGGAATGGACTGAAAATGCCCTTTGATGCTAAACATCATACTACATTTTTTCACATTCATAAGACTATACTCTGACAATATTTTCCGTAAATAGGACACACATATAAAAGGACAATGTGCACTGCCATGTGTCTGTCCGACGGATCCTTCGTTAAATACGGTTTGTCACACACATACCTTAATAAATTCTCATTACTATGAAATATTACTATGAAATATATTAATTCATTTTGACCGTTGTACACAATTATAACATCTGCTCCGCATTCGCTATTCTATTCTAACAAAAAAGCAACATTTAACAAATATTTGAAAGAAACCGGTCCTACCAACGCTTTTATTTTGTCACTTTACTACTCCATATTATTCCGTATCGTATCATTTCGCCTCGCTTTAAACAGTAACGAACCTTTATAGTTTAACAGTTTATTGTCTCATTCCAAGCATGTCATATATACAATACATCACAATGTTCAATCATATTAAAA